TACTGGAATTGACTGTATTTTTAACATGTATGTATAAATTTTTTGGTTATTTTGAATTTCCAGTTAGCTGTGTTCAAACCATTGATTTTGGTTTGGTACTCATTTGAGATTAACTCAGAGGAGGAGGAGAAGATGATATCTGCTGAGTGTCTGTGTTTCAGCAAGTTTGTTTGGCAAATAAACAGACATTTTTCTTACTTACTCTGCACAATGAGATGGGATCATCCCAAGTTTATAGGATAAAACTGAGGCCTAGGAAAGTCAAAAACACATCCAGGGTCACACATCTAGTGAGTGATGGACCTAGGATTGAATCCAGTTCTATCTGATTCTAAAATCTGTGCTCTAGACACTACTACTTTTTTACTATTAAGGCCCATAGATAAGTGGTTTGCTTAAAGTCACGTAGCTAGTCACTAACAATGGGGCCTGACCCACAGTCCTCACTACCAATTTGTGCTCCTTCCACAATATAGTTTTTTTTGTGTGTGTTGGGGCAGATTTGACCTGTTCCTGTAAAATGTGCGGTTGGTATTACAGGCAGAAGGAGCCCTGATGGTGCAGTGGTTAAAACACTCAGCTACTAACCAAAACGTCAGCGGTTCGAACCTACCAGCTGCTCTGTAGCAGAAAGATTTAGCAGTCTGCTTCTGTAAGGATTTATAGCTTTGGAAACCCTGTGGGTTGGAATTGACTCAATGGCAGTGGGTATTACAGGAACAGATGATGACAGTATTGGAGTTTTTGTTTTCATTTTTATTTCTACTATTGCAGAATATAGATTCCTAGCTAAGATATACCACGTGTCAAGGTTTATCATCATTTAGTTGCTCTTGAATGTTGAAACTTGCTCCTGAAGATAGAATAGCTAAAGCAAATGGAACAAATGATGAAGTAAAAGAGCTGAACAGAAGATTTCAAAGAGCAGCTCGAGAAGACTGAAAGTAAAGGATTATAATGAAATGTGCCAAGACCTGGAGTTAGAAAACCAAAAGGAAAGAACAGAATGGACATTTCTCAAGCTGAAAAAACTGAAGAAAAATTCAAGCCTTGAGCTGCAATGTTGAAGGATTCTATGGACAAAATATTGAATGATGCAGGAAGCATCAAAAGAAGATGGAAAGAATACACAGTCACTGTACCAAAAATAATTGATTGGCATTCAGTCATTTCAGGAGGTAGTATATGATCAAGAACTGATGGTACTGAAGGAAGAAGTAC